CTAATGATATCCTTGGGACGCTTCCATCAGGCTAAGTAGCTCGCATCCTGCAGTGGAGTTGACCAACTGGTCGATCCTTGGCAGAGGGTATAGATCTTTCGGGCACTCCTTGTTCAAATCTCGGAAGTCGATACACATCCTCCACTTTCGCTCCGACTTTGATACTATCATCATATTAGATAACCATTCTGGGAACTGGATTTCCTTAACGTGGCCCGCCTTTAACAACTTCTCTACCTCCAGCTCAATCACCTTGTCCATCTCCGCCCCGTGGTGCCTCCGTTTTTGTTTCACCGGCCTCACCGCGAGGTCGATGTTCAATCGATGCTTGATTACCTCCGCACTAATCCCTGTTAACTCCTCATTAGTATAAGAAAAAATATTTGTGAACTCACTTATCAGCCCTATCAATCTCGACCTCATGGGCTCCTCCATTTCCTTCCCAATTCTGAACTTCCTCTCCTCACTGCCTTCCACCATCTGGACCTCCTCAATCTCTCCTCTTAGCTACATCTCTTTCCCCTTATCAAGTGTCACATTCTCTTCCCTCGACCTCAACCTCGACCCACCTGGTCGATTTGGCATTTTGTCTCCCACCTTTCCCTTCCTCTCCAATTTCTTATTATTACTCACTGTGGTCTGATAGCATCTCCTCGAGGTGAGCTGATCCCCTGCAACTTCGCCCACGTTTTCACCCATCGGATACTTAATCGTCATGTGGTACATCGACACCACCACCTGGAATGAGTTCAAACTGATTCTTCCCATAATGATATTGTATGATGACTCTGCTCCAACCACCATGAACCTGACCATCCTCACCTTCCTCGTCGCCCTTTTCACAAGGCAACGGATAAACTCACCTCTCCATCGGCATGACTTCTCCCCCACTGAAACCATACAAAGTCATGGCCACCGGTCTTAACTGCACATTCAGCTCTCGATTTATCTGCACAAAGTAATCATAGAACATGATATCGAGCTAACTCCATGTGTCGATAAACACCCTTTTCACATCAAAACCCGCTACCTCCTCCGTGATCATTGAAGCATCATTGTGGGGCAACATCACTTCTTCCGCGTCTTCCGCCCGAAAATTGATCTCCAGCACTCGAGCAGTGATACCCACTTCTTATCTCTTCCTCTTCATCGCTCGAACATGCCCTCTCCTTGCGTTATTTGAGTCTCCATTCATCGGCCCCGCAAAAATCATATATATCATTCCTGGCATGCTTCCTCCTGCCTCCCTCGATCTCTGCTCCTCCGTCTCCTCTTAACTCCGCCATCCCTTCGACATCTCGCCCTTCTCGCGCGTCATCCTCCTCATCATCATCTCTATCACTCCTTTCCCCCGAGCCTTCCCGACACCTCATTTTTTCCTTACCCTTCACTCTATCCTGGTACACAAATTTCTTAAGATGGCTTGCTCGAATAAGGCGCTCGATTTCATCTTTAAGGTGTCGGCAGTCCTCCGTGGTGTGACTATAATCCTTGTGGAACCGGCAATACCTCCTCGACTTTGGCTGGGTTGGTCCATCAAACCTCGACCTAGGCCACGTCACATCCCTCCCATCAATCTCCTTTTCCATGGCCACCAACACTTCCCCCACCTTCGCGTTTAGCGGTGTATAACCATGGAACCTCTTTCCTCCCGCAATAGGTCTATCTTTCCACCTATCTTCACGCCCTCGCTTATGCCTACCCCGTCATTCCCTCATGGGCGATCCCCGCCTAGGTGACATCCTCCGGGGTGACTGGGCCTTCCCCTTTTTCGGCTCTAGCCGAGCCATTTCCTCCAATTTAGCAAACTCTTCCTCTGTCTCTTCAAGGTTGATATACTTTGTGCACCTCTTTAGCACCTCATCATCAGTACGAGCAGGGGTCTTAGCCAGAGAAGTTCGACATGGTCCTGCTCGTAAATTCCTGATCAGTCCTCCAATCTTGACCTCATCCGTAGCAGTAGGGATCTCCAAGCATGTTTGATTATATCGAGCAACATATTTCCGCAATGACTCCTTCTCACCTTGTCTCATCGCCATCAAGGTCAAGTACGTCTTTTTCTGGGCCACCGCACTCGAGTACTGATTTGTCAACTTTTCTGCAAAATCCTCGAAATCTGTGATCGACCCTGGAGGGAGTTGTTGGAACCAGTCGAGAGCACCTCCCCTCAAGTGGTCAAATTCCAAAAGGGTAATTTATACCTTCAACCCATAACGGGTTCGATTTTATTGATGACTTCCCGTCTAACATTATGGGCTGAAAAACTCGATTCTTCTTTGTACGACCTTTTACTTCTCTTCCTTGTACGACCTCCTACCTCTATTCCTTTCCCTTCGACCTGACAACTAGCTTAACTTGTAGACACGTTCTTCCTAAGCCCAACCCCACTTTCGACTATGGATGGGACCGGTCCGGTTCCTAACATATTTTTCAAGAACTGGAACCGGAACGAAAATAAAAAAAATAAAAAATAAAAAAAATAAAAAACTGGTGCGGTTAACATATATGTACTTGCAGGAACTGAAAAAAGAATCGAACTGGGTTATAATTTTTTTGGTTATTTGGGTATTATCGAATAATGAATAATAATCGAAAATAATTGGTTTTGTGTTAAGAACCGGTTAAAAAGTTGCAACTCATAAACTGAAAGTATAATAAAAAACCGAGAAACAAAATACAAAAATGAGGAACTAAATATTACATACCAAGAACCGGAACCGGTTCATATATATAAACATATAAGTTGGTGATTGTTTGTGGTTTGTACAGTAAAAAAACCAATCAAAACTCAAATTTAACTAAACTTTAATCCAACCCTACTATCTCATATATTATCAATATAATTAAATAATATTAACCAGTCATTCTTACACACACATCAACTTTAATTTACTATTCATTCACTCACATAATTTTTAACCATCATTTCCAATCATTTTTCTCTTACTTTACATCAAATCAACTTTAAATATTAAATTTAAATATTTTTCTAATATATCCACTAACAACTAGCCATAACATTTTTTTTTTTCAAAACTAACTATAGTTAAAAAATAAACCAAACAAAAACTAGTTGAATCCATAAACAATCACCCCCTAAATCATGCATATTTCATATATATAGTCGGTTCCTCGATTAATACACATACATCTGGAAAAGAACCGGCAACCGAAACCAGTTTGTGAAAAAAGTAACCTAAAACAAAAAAAAAAAAAAATTAAATAACTGGACTGAACCAGCTATTTTCGGTTGGCTCCGATTCGGTTCTCGAGTTCTCGGGTATAAAATCCCACCTATGCTTTCGACCTGTTAATTGAGTCATGGAATAGTTCTTTCCATCTTTCTACGCCATTTTGGTCAATAGTGAGAGTATGCTATTCCATTGTGGCATTACTAATGGACCTTTGCCTTTCCTGGTCGATGATGAACTTGGTAGGTTTAAACCTAAAATATTAACATGATCTTATTTCTTTTTACCATAATTCAACTTTGTTGTCCGCATGATTCCTTGTTTGAGACCTAGCTCGACTATCCATTTTGCACAAAAAATTAATTTAAGTCTGCTAGGTTGACCTTCTTCACCGCCAGTAGCAAGGGAAAAGCTCCCGGAGGCCGACCTAAAGGACATATTGCCGAGCTTGGCCCCATTAAACTTAAGCCCAAGTTCAAAGGACCTCCTGCTCTGTGCCCTGAGATCACCATCAGTTGAAAAAAGTTGAGCTCGACCACAGCCAGTGGAAGTTTGAAACAAGCTCGCCTCGACCACGTTGAAGTCGATGTACCAGACTCATTTGCTACCAACCAAGACGCAGAGACAATCACGTCATACCTCATGAAGGTTTTGCCTTCCGAGGAGATCATGCTATGGGGTACTAACCGCCAAGTCAACCTTTAGACGGGGTCTATTTCTCACGTGTCATGTAAATTTTTTTAAATGAACCCAACACACTAGATACTCTATTAAGTCCTAATTTTGTGATAATTTTTTTTTTATTATTTGCAGAATATACTTGTTCGTAATCCTCTCTATATATAATTCCTGAATGCGCTGAGTGTACGTGACTGCTTCTGGTGCTTCGGAATCCTATTTGGCGAATAATCATGCTTCGTAATTAGGTTTGGACAAATAATATTGATATATTAATAATTAATAATTTAGGTTCGGACATTCCATAAATATTATTTATCTAACTTAGGTATTTTATTATCACTTTACTAATATAACTCTTTAATTATTTGTAATTTTACATAGTGAGGCACTAAGTGACTAATATATCCGTGACTTTGATTTGTTTTATTCAATTAGCTATTGAATTGTAAATGTATTTTAAAAGTTGATAACTTTTGTATTTCTTATTGGTTTTACATATATTATATCTCAAATTAATCATCTTTTTCGATTTGACATCCATATTGTATATATGAAATCAATAAATTATATTTATCTGTATAATAATAAAAAATAATAATATTTATTAAAATTCATTAGAAAAATAAAATTATTTATCAATTGATATATTTATTTTTAATGTAGTTATATGTTGTAAGTTAAAAATTATTATAATATAATATAGGTAAATCGCACAAATAAAAAATGTTATACTAAATATATAATAATATATATTTTTGTAAAAAGTATTTAAATTTTCAACTATATTTTCTCATTAATTTTAGACTTTAAAAAAAAAAAAATTAACAAGCACCCTGTAATACACGGGTGTTATACTAGTTATAACCTAAATCCAGAATTTTCTAGCTCTTATGACTTATCCTCACCTGACCTATCTATATTCTTAAAAATCTTTGAAGTTTGTATTTATCTAGTAATAATAACCCAGAGAACAAAACCGTGTCCCATGGCCAATAGCATTACAGAACAATGGGCCTTCAGCACGTTTATTTTTCTTTTCCTTCCTTTATCTTTCCCTCATTATAACAACCAAAATTTCAGGCCCGCCCAAAAAAAACACACCATTCAAGCACTTTCTTTTGCCTCCACATGATATCACATCAACACACTTCATCAAGAAACAAAGAAAGAGAAAAAATGGCAGAAGTAGCTGATATGTGCATGTTAGAGATAACCAAGTTGAGAGCAAAGATCAAATCCAGATATCCATTCACGTTGGTATGCAGCAAAAATAAAGGTGATCCTAACGAAGCACAAGAAGTCAACAGCCAAACATCTTCTTGTTCATCATCTTCTTCATCCCCATCAACTATCCACTCACCTGCAAAGGCCCGAAGCCCGGATACCATGTCCGAGATGACCGTTTTCCTGCTCATGGACCGTTTTGCCCCGAGCTGATGATATCGGCTAGACCAGTCCGAATCGAGTTTGTAAAATAGGAAATAATAAATGTTAAAGGGAATTTGTACTTGAGGTTAGGCTCAAATCCAGACCATATGTGTACATGTAAATGGTACTCTATATATGTACTCTTGTTTTCTGTATTGGAATGAATGTTTATGTTACAAAACTATTTGTTCCTACTCATATTATTTGAAACTGATCCAGAGTATCTACAGTTTACCTTGGAAGATCAACTTACAGAGGCCAAAAAACAAAAAAGTAAATTGTTGTGTGAAAAATTTTCCTATACAGATGTGGTAGGCTCCATGCTCTCACTAGACCACTCGTTGTTAAAGCTAACTCTATGATTCTCCTCACTCCACTTCAAGATCTCCCTGCAGTACTTGAGGGCCTCATCCACGCTACTGGACTCCAGGCCCGTGGCCCGCGACACGAACAGCTTCCGGCCCGTCAACGATTTGAACAGCCTCTTGAACTTCACAGCCACGTAGTGGAAAGCCCGTTGAGCCATGGACGGGCTGCTGCTGCTGCCGCCGGTCGAGCTCCCGTGGTGGTGGCTGATCACTGGATTGAAATCCCGAAACCATTCGCACAAAGAGAGCGGGGCCTTGTCGACCTTTTCTTCGAGGAGGTCGAATTTGTTGAGGACGAGGAGGAACTCTTTGTGGGCGAGGGTCGGGTGGGTAATCATGGCCTGGAAGAGGTTCCGGGCCGTGAGCATCTTGTTCGTGCGGGCCCCACTTAGGAGGCTTTCGTGGTACTCATCGTACTCGGTTAAGGACACGCAATAGATGACGAGGTCGGTCTGTTCGAACATCGGCAGCCACTTGCAGTTTTCTCCCAGGCTGTTGGAGTGGACTCTGATGAGTTGATAGCTGCAGAGGATGGGAATTTTGAATAGGTTTTTAAGTGCTTGGTTTTTTTCACATGTCAGTATTGTCTTCTGATTCTGCATAATTTTAATGACGACACTAATGCAAGATGAGAAAAAGTAACCTTGTTGGATGAGTAGTTATGTTGGAAGGCTCCATGTACCCATCTTGAGGCAACTCAGGAAAAGAAAATTCCATGGTGGCAACCCCATTAGAAGAAGTTATGCCCTCAGCATATAGGATATCCATTTGAGAAGGCTCGTAGTCTACTCGCGAAATTTCAACAGCCTTTCCCAGAAAAACAATGAAAAATAATTGCAATTTATCATCTCCGAGGGGGAAAAAAAGAAGAAGAAGAAGAAGAAGAAGATTACGAAAGCACCAGCTTACTCGATCCAAAAAATAATTAGCAACTCTAGGTAGAGTATGGAGCTCGTTCCTTCTTTTGTAAGTGGCTTGAAAAGCTTTGTCTTTCCATAGTTCCTCGACTAGAGGGGAATATTCACGTGTGGCAGCTGGGAAAATGATCTCCAAGTTGCCCGACATTGTGACTTGGAGTAGCCACTCTGCGAACGCTTTTAGTCGTGGAGAAAATGAATAAATATTACTTTCCTCGACTTGTTCAGCATAATCTGCCAACGATAAATACATGTCGGGATCAGATGATTTGCAACAAAGACAGAGCCTAAAAAGAATGAATTATATAAACTGGATGGTGAGTTTTACATATAACTAGGTAGAGTACATTTTTCTAGTGAAAAAATAAATAAAATCTTGTTTGCATACCTGAAGGACCAGGTTCCTCAGCACGCTTTCTTCTCATTTCACTCGTATATTCTTCTTCAAAACGTGCATGCCCCTCGAGGAGGATACAAAGATATAGATAGATATTTCTTTGGATCAGGAATTTGATGCTTTGCTTCTGATCATCTGAGAACGGGACATTATATGCAATTTTGGCCTGGACTCCAACAAAAAAACATGTCCAGTAACTATGCCGTAATAATCATAATGAGCGCTTCAGATAGTTCTCATTTTACGATGCAATGAAGTTTCAAATCGGTTATATTCTAGTCACATACTACTCAAAGAAGTGAAATGAATATGATTAAAAGAACAGAACCAAAAATAAAAAATAAAAAATAAAAAATAAAAATAAGAAAATAAAAAAACTTACCTGTTTGAATATGGTACTTGTCCCAGATTGATCGCACCCAACTAGGAGAAGTTTATACATCGTTTTGTTATCCGGAATCTTCCTAATAACTTTCTCTGTGTCTTCATCGACATCTCCATTATCTCGATCTGAGGTATCAGAAGGAAATGGCAAAGACAGAGCAGCACATAGTATCTTCACTCTTTTCTGAAGACAATTTTATCAGAATTAACTCAAAAGCAGTAAGAAGCATTTCGAATTCAAAAGCAATGAGCCTAAGGAGTATCAGAAAACACTTGAGAGAAATGTTTCAACTATCAGCTTCTGGCTCAGAAAAATTTGTTCTAATGCTTGCCCGTGAGCACTTTTCAAATGGAAATTTGGATGTAAAAGTCCATTTCAACAACAATTTTAATTTAGGATACACATTCTGAATAAGTAACTGTTTGAAAAGCTCGTATGAGGAAGACAAATGGAAGGCTTTTTTCGAGAAGCCCTCCTAAATAAGTCCATTTCCAAAATGATTTTTTTTCGGAAAGTTTTCCAAATTGTCAAACTTCATATTCTCATCTGCATGCATAGTCTAATTTCAAACGATTTTCGATTTGACTTCTGTTATGTCTTTCGCCATAGCTATAAATACTAAATCTCTTCCTCTAAAAGCACAAGCTTTTATGCTGAACTTACCCTCTCCCATAACTTTCCCAACACATTTTTCATGCCTTCATGCTGACAGCAACCATCGGCAGTTACCCAAAAGTGAGGGCTTCCCTCACAGTTTATTCCAGCAGCCTGCAAAATTTTCAAGACAGAAGTGCCTAAAACTTCATTCTTACAAAGCATGTAATAAACCACAAGATTCAAGAAAAAATACCTGTAACATCCAGAGCTCATGTTTAGTTATCTCGCGATTATTTACCATCACATTAGTGTCCCCATTGCTCGCATCCCGTCTAATTTGGAAACCAAGGGCCAGCTGGGGACTTATAATCTGGCTCGGTTTCTCTCCTTCCTGCTTGATCGAGACTACATTGTTATTTTACTTTGCTTTTATTAAACAATCATAACATAATATTTAGAAGTCAATCTAAGGGAGGTCTGCACAAGAGTTGTTCTTTTTGGAGAAAAACAGTTATCACATAGTTTTTGATTTTTAAGTTAGCATAAGAATCTTTGTCGAAGAAGTTCAAAAGTACTCTCTTTGTTTATTATACAAGTCAAACCAGAATGCAATCAGAATCTAGAAAAGAAAACAAAAGGTAAAATAAAAATCTCACCTTTCCCCAAAACCCAGAAACTTTATCATACCAATATCTCCCAGGCCTAAGCTTCTTGGGAGGGTTACCACAGCTTTGCAACCCGACCAGCTCCTTAACCGACAAAGGCTTGTCATTCACAAACACCAGCCGAGGTGGCAGCTGGTTCGCCTCGCACGACACCTCATCACTCATAACCCGCCTCGCCACGTCATCGCCCAGCAGTTTCCTGAGCATCCTCGAGCACTTCCCGAGGGACCTGCGTCTCGACTCGTCTATGCAGTGGCCGATGCACGTGATACACTTCCTCCCCTCAGGCATGCACCCCATTGCCCTCAAAACACACTTCCTGCAGTACTTCGCCCCACACACAACGCAAACTTCCTTTCCCGATAAACGGCTCGTCTTGCCGCATTTGTGGCACGACCCCTTTTTTACGCTGCCATTAGCCGCCACCGGGCGGATTTCGGGCCCTTTCTGATCGTAAACACCATCATCATCAAGCTCAAGTACGCTGTCTTCCTCCGAGTCATCTCCAGATTCTCGATAGTCCAAACTCTCATCACAGCACGTGTTGGAACTACTCGACAGCAGCACAATGGGTTCCTGAGGGGACTCAGAGCTTGATGTTCCTGGATGGACCCTGGCCAAGCAAGCAAATTTACCGAAATGCCCTCCTGAGTCCCGGGAGGCTGGGTTTCCACCACCCGAGTTCAGCTCCCTCGACGTTTTCTTGCTTGAAGGGTCATTTTTTACTATGGGTTGAATAACTGGCAGTGGAAAATTGTTGGGGACCAAAGAATTATCAGCCATGGATGCTGTTGGAATATGGCGAATGTCGATCGGGACCAGTTTCGGAATGTCGCGGCTGACCGGAGGGCCGGTGTACTCGATCGCGAAAGAATAATCGTCATCGTAATCGGCGCTTCTCGAGGATGACCCCGGCAAACTACTTCTCAACTCACTAGTCATGTTTCAGGTAGAAAATCCCTTTGGAAGAAAGAAAACAAAATGATCCAAACCCACAGTTTCGTTTCTTGGGTAGATTGAGCCTCAAGCTAAAAGCAAAAAACAGGGGTTTGTGAATTGTGATGACCCATTTGACGAGAGACCCTTTTGCATTTTGCTAGACATCAGGGAAGACAACGATCGTTTTAGCCAACTTCGAGCCTATTCAGTCTTTTTATCACTGTTATTTGTGTGTGTGTGTGTGTGTGTGTGTGTGTGTGTGTGTGTGTGTGTGTGTGTTTGTTTGAAATGGTCAGGAATGCAGTTTGAAAGAGATTAAAGAAATGATGGTTTATCGGGTGTGGGCGGCTTACAAATAAAGAAGACGACTATTTGCGCCTTTGAAAACAGAGAATAGTTAGTTATTAGAGAGAAGACTGATTCTTGCGGGAACGCGTTACGTAGGAAATTTAACAAACAGTTGGTGGGAGCTGGGAATGCATGGAAGCTTCGTGATTTTATCATGAAATAAATGCGAGAACACAAACAAAAGTGAGGTGGCTGACCTTTGACTTTCCACTGCTGCTTAAACAACTATAAACTTGTGTAATGGGCTTACATTTATAAATATTACTACTTGTTGACTAAAGGTTGAATAATTTCAAGAAAATGAGAAGGCACTCGGGGTGGAAAAAAAAAAACTAGGTCGGTAAAAAAACCGAATTTTCTCAACCGGACCTAAATGGTCTCGTTCTGAAAATAGGGTTCCGAAGAGTTCTCTTTATTTTTGTCCCGAATCATGCCGTTTGTCCCGTTTCATTTTGTTCGTACAAAATATTATATTATATATATATATATTATATTATTATAATATTTTATATTAGTATTATAGTACCAATTACATAATTAACTATAGATCATTTTGGTATTTAATTTATAATAGCATTCTAACTTTGTAATATAATATATAAAAAACAAATGCTCAATTGTTCAAGCCAAAACTAAACAATCAAGCCCAAATACGAAAAAAAAATAATAAATTAAACAATGCGTTTGGTATTTGGTTTTAGACACAATATTTATGTTAGATCTTAGATGTAGGTAAGTGGTGACTTAAATTTAATGGATGGATATGTCTTATAATGAAATCAATACTCTTTAGTAATTTGGTTTAAGTGAATACTTGAATCGGTGTGTTTTTTTAATCGAAACTAGTACGAATCTCGTGCGATGCACGAGTAAGAAAAATTCATTAATATTTATAAATTAAAATTTTTTATTAAACTAATATTATAAATTAAAAATATGGAATCAGTATGTAATACAACATACCTATATTAATTTATTGAAAATATTATATATAATTTAAATTGTGCAAAATTATATGAAATGTCGTCTTTTTAAAATTAGTACACAACTCGCGCGTTGCACATAACTGATAATAAATTACATAATATTCGTTTGAAAATATGTGTCCTCCCAAAAATTTTTATTCAGAAATTCGATTTGACTATAACGTGATTCCATAAAATAATTATTTTGGTAAAATTTTATCACATATTTAAAAACTGATTTGAATAAGTATAAAGATAAACCTTATAGTGTTTCTTTAATTATTATGAATTTATATTTGTATAAAATATCCAAATTAAAATATTTAAGTAGTTAGATAAGGTTAATTATGCCAAAAATATCGACACTCCTTATCATGCTAAAAAAAAATGAACAGTACATTTCATATAAAAATTATTTGAAATGTTGTATCAAAAAATGCATTAAATCGATACCTACCAATTATAAAAAAAAAA